GAACAACAATTTTACCTAGTTATTTTGTTGTAATTTAAAAATATTATTTTTGAGTACAAGAAACTTCTCAAGTATATTAAAATTATTAAAATTTAAATTTAAAATAAAAATACTTTGTACAAGTAATTATTTCATAAGTATTTAAAATACATATTTGAGTATTTAAAAAGTATTTAAATACTTTTACTCAAGTACTTTATAAACTATCTGATTGACCGACCGTTACGCTCAAAATCATTTTTCTTTGTGCCAAGATACAATAATTTTATGTCATTGAATTAAAATTTAACACATTCATTACACTATTAATAGTTGGTCACTTGAATTTTTATTTTTTACTTTTAATCATTTATAGATTCCACAATCTCAAGAAGAATGGTTAGCTGTTGCAAAAGGGTACGAAGAAAAATTGAATTTTCCACATTGTCTCGGTGCTATAGATGGAAAACATATACAATTACACCCGGGTAGCAATTTTGGTATCAGAAAAGTGCCAAAACTGATCAAAATGGTCCAGGACCGTTCCTATATGGTGACGGACTAGTGCCTCCACTGGTCCCATGGCAATTTTGAATACTGAATATTAACATTGCAGGACCGTCCTAAACACTTAAATGGCACGTTCCAGAAAAGTGCTCTGATGGATTACTTATCTATAGGCACCATTTATTCAGGCTTAATATAGTGCCTACACTATTTTGTAATTAAATAGAACTATACGGGCACCAGTTTAGGGACGTATAAAAGAGGTATGTGCGGGGGCGGGGGGCTTAAAAATAGCTTCACGATCGTATTTTAACTTAGGTACCTAGCAGTGCCGTAGCTAGCGGGGGGGGGGGCTTAAGGGCTTAAGCCCCCCCCCATGAAATATTAAATTGGAAATTGTATATTTGCCTGTTGCTGACATGAATCGTTACTCGTTTCTTATATCTACAGTATTCTCTATATTCACTATTCAGTATTTTTTTTAAATTACTATTAAAACCAGAAATTACTTTTTATGAAGATGATTTGGTTATAGAAAATAAAAAATTACTTGAGAATGGATTTGAATTTTGTAATCAAAAATGGTCCAATGAAATTGTAAAAAAAATTGTATTCCAAAAATTCCCTTGGATACGCAATACCAAAGTTTTCAGAAGAATTGTTTCCAAATAATATATAAATGTTTTTTTTTAAATACTATATTTATTACCAGTATCAACTGCATCAGTCAAAAGAAGTTTTTCTACTTTAAAAATAATAAAGCTGTATTTAAGGAACTCTACAGGTGAGACAAGACTAAATGGTTGTGCTGATTAATATTCACAGAGACATATACATATTGATTCTGAAGTAATAATTAATATGTTTGCTTCATAAAAAGAAAGAAGATTAGATTTTAAATTATAAAAAATTGTTTAATTATTTACATCTTGGGTTATTTTTTTTTTTTATTATTATTATCAAAGTTAGTAAAATCTGTATTTTTAGTTAATTTTACAATTATTTAATTGACTTCATTTACACCTAATATAGTTCTTATTTATATGACTAAATTAAAAATAAAAGGAAAAAAAGTTATAGGTATTGAAATACAATATTATAATAAGTATCTATAATAAATAAATATGTCCCCAGATTGGTTTCTGCATTTCTAGCTAATTTAATTTAAATTAATAAAATAATATGTTTGAATGTGAACAAATGGTTAAGATTAAATTCTATTTTATAAATGATGAGTGTATGGGTTTGAGACCTAAATCAGAAATGCATATCTTCAAATTAATAAAATCTGCATTACAAAAAAAATTATTATTAAGATAAAAAAGGTATTGTTTATTTTGAAAAAAACAATTGTTAAAAATCATATTAATTATTATTAGCATTTTCTTCGTTATTTATTTTTGCTTTTTCTTTTTCAACATCTCTCTTGGCATGTTTTACAAAGTTTTCCACTGTGCATTCAAACTTTATATCCTCTTCATCTGTAGTGCGAAACCCTGATGTAGCTTCTGAAATAAAATGTATAATGTATATTGATATTCATATTAATGTATTTTTTGTAAATAAATAATAAGGAAGAAATAATATCATTGAAAGTTATAAAATGTATCATTATAATAACTAACGTTTAGTTAAATAGTAAAATGGAGTATCATGGAAATTTAGCCTCCTGCCTTTTCCTCTAAATGTATATTGCATTGTCAACTGTTTGCTGATGAGTGCTTCTAAGCATGAAACTGTGGCCCTGCAACTCGTCACTTTTTCCACGTTTGGATTTTTTACCATAATTTGATGCCTTAAATAATTTATCTACAACAAGATGTATAGATAAAACATATAAATAACAAATACATAATTATTATCTAATATTAAATTAATTTCTTACAATATCCATTTCGGAATTTTTGTCGGAATCCAAAAAACTTTTTAATATTTCTATTTGTACATTATTCTGCAACGGAAAAATGCCTTCTAATGAAGATGGCAACTTTTGTATTGGGCATGATATTGGCCTCATTTTCTTATTGCTAGCACATAGTAGACTTATTTTTTGGTCGGTTATTTGTTGATTGGCAATTACCTATACAAGGCAGAAAAATAGGTACACTACTAATACACATTTTAAACATTTATTTTAAGTCAAAAAATCAAAAATATATAAAACAAAATGTACTAAATCATAATAATTATAGATACCTTATCCAAAGTTTTTTGTAGAATTGTCACTTGGGTAAGAATAGGTTTAGTTGCTTTTTTGATTGCATTTTCAATAATACATGCAATATCATTGTCCAAAATATTAGCAGCATTATTTTGGTCGTCAATTACAGTAAAACTTTCTGTTAAATACATTAATAACATTTGGAACGTAAATAATTATGTAGTTAAAACGATTTGCTTATAAAATACCGTGTGTCCGCGAAAACTGGGTAAACTTTATAACTCAATTACCTATTATATTACTCAGTACATCATACATATTTTAGAATTCGGTCTGCTGGATATTGATGATCTGTTAGTTTAGTTTTATTTACCGAAAACAGATTTACAATTTAATTAAGCAGTGTAACCTGTTTTTGAGGATACACGGTATATTGTAAACAAATTAATGATTATAACATAATATTTTCAAGTTTTAAGTATATATAAGTTTATACCATTGATTGGTGCATTATTACTTGAGTTCGATATGTTTTGCAATGATATTTTGTCATCGTTTAAAACAAAAAATAATTCACTATTATTTAATACTTCTGCAAGATCATTATTAGTGCATTCATCTATAAATAATAAAAGGACTACATATTAATATAAAAAGACTTGAATAAATGGTGTCAAAACACACAATTTAATGTCTGGTTATAAATATAGTTTCTATTACATAAATTATAAAACATTTTTTATTTGAAGTTTGTATACCTATCATTGCGCTGGTTGTTTCTTCGATATCACTGTAATTGTTTTCAACTAACACGGTTTTTATAATATTCTCACTATCCACATTGATTATAGATGCATTAGATAATGTTTCAGTTTTTGTGGTATTGCAGATGCTGTTAGAATTATTATCATCTGAAATATAATTTTGTTTTGTGGTTATATATAGGTAAATAAAAGTTATTGATATAATATACCTTCACTGTTTATTATTGTATTTGATATATTTACTAATGATGTCTTATTAGTTATTGTTGTACCTGGAATAGAATTTATCGCTAAAGGGGTTTTTTTTTTTTTTTTTGAAATAGCATCATCAAGAATTAAGCTATTATTTGCAGAATTATTTTTTTGTTCGAATGGATGGAGTGGTAAATGTTCATTGGACACAATGTTCAATATATTATCCATAACAACTTCGTGTTTTTTTTAAAGTTTTTTCTTAGCTTTACTCATGTGACTGTTTTCATATAATTTTAATTTAGTTTCTGAAGTGGAAATAATCTCATCCTCAGATTCTTGTTGGTATTTTGAATTTTTCTTTTTTTTTCTTTTGCTTGTATTTATTTCTTCATCATTATCACAATTATTATTTTGGGTTTCACAATCAGAACCAGATAATACTTTTGCTACGTTACGGGCCATTATAATATTATCTAGAGTGAAAACAAATGAAAAAAAAAAATTATAATCAAATGGTTTAAGTGACATTAGTAAAACAAATAACAAGAGGTTGATAAAAAATAAAAACAAAACATCGCTCCCCTCTCCGTATCTAAAATTGTATAATAATAAAATTATGTTAAATGCTATTTTATTTTATTGGAGTTAGATATCTAACTATATGGATATGAATGAGAAACATAATAAATGTATACATTATTATATCCAAATATATATGCATATTGCAGGAAATAAGTATATTATCTACTATACACCCGACTATACATATTATATAATATTTATTTTAATCATAATGATAGGTATAATAATATAACTAAAATACTTGCCAAATGTTGATATGCATTTAGCCGGCCAATAAGACCCGTCATAATCATTGGGAACACTTTCTTGAATAATCATTTTATTAATTTGAGAAGAAGAAAAATTAATTGATATTTCAGGTGGATTATCATGTTTGTTATAAGGCCACCAACAATGTCCTTCATTATTTTCATTTTTTTTGATAAACCAACTGGCTGGTACATGCTGGGCGTTTTCAGTGGTCCCCGTAAAAATTACTGCTGACCAAGGCATGGTAATACAATTTAAAGCTAGAATAAAAATAAAATAAAATATACATATCAGTATACATACAGTGTGTAAACACTAACCGTATATTATATATATTAATGTATTTAAAATTAAATAGCATAATATAACTGATTTAAACTTACAATTATTATAATCATAGTAAATAAATAGACATAATACAAATATATAGTATAAATATATAATTTTTTTCACATAGTTATTAATTGTTTACCAATATTTACATGATAATATAATTAAATATAATTAGTTAGTTATTTACATACAAAATTTACATAGTCATATATATACAAAATAAATCTCTATTATGTATGATGTATAAGAGGCATCACTATATCGGTATTTTGAGAGTGAGATAGGTTTGATCTAAAACAAATCATTTTTTTTTCTATTTTAGATAACGGCCAAACATTTAACATTTCTAAGTTTGAAACAGAATACATATCTAAAAATTTAGATTCACATGGTGAATCAAAAATGTTACATAATGTTTTATACTTTCTTCCAACAATAACTACTTCGGAATCACTAAATATGGAAGTAGCAATAGATTCAATAATCACTATATCTTTATTGTCCATTTGAACACAACAGTCTTGCATATTTGTTCCTATTGTAAAATTGGTTGTTTTTACTCGTTTATATTGTGGATATTTAGTTATTGAAGTTAAAGGACCTCCATTTTTAAACATGGGTTTTCCTAATAATTGTATATCACCATTCAATTGGTTTTCATCAGAAATATCATGTTTGGTTAAAGCAATTTTATCATAAAAATTTCTTCTTTCCATATATCTCCTAGCTAGTTGCTGTAGTGGTTTAACAGGAGATCTAATATCCTTTTTAAGTGGTTGCATAAAACTTTCAAAAGGAAATGCTGAGCACTGATCTAACTCATCATACTTTAAGGCTTCCTTAGCTAAGTGAATAAGACCGTGAATATTGTATGTCATATGTTGGATGCCATATAAAGTACGAAATGTTGATACAAAATATCTTAAAAGTTGATTTGCATATTCGTTAAAAGTTTTGTGCATTGAAGGCGAAAGTAAAATTCTCATCGCCACGCATAGTACTATAAAATTATTATATATGTCATCTGAAACTACTCCTTTAATGCATATTACAGAAGTATACAGTAAAAATTGCCGTGACTCAGTTGCTTTCCAACGTGATGCTTGAGAAAAAGGATGCATTCTGGAATTTTCTGTTTGTTTACGTTGAAATTCAAGTGGGATGTATGTGGCTAAACGATTAAGTCTTTTATTAACAACCTGTATTAAATTATCGGGTAATTTTGTTGGATTTTTATTAACACCAGTTATCCATAAATTTACAATTTTTAGTACAACTCCTTCACAAATTAAGTGCATGTAATCAATAATACAAGACTCAACTATTGAAAACTTAGGTATATTGACTAAAATTGTAGGTCCATTGTGATATCTTGAATCTTCATATTTTCTAAAACTTTCATCAGTCCTAAGTGGGGCATCAATTATAGGGAAACATGCTTTACTCAGCCAGATTCCTTCAATAGTACACTTAGAACAGCTTACTTTTCCAGTATGGCCCAATGTATTTAGGACGAACGACTTGGCCGGAGCATCACATATAATGCCATGTAATACAATTTTGACATGTTTATTATTGTACACTATTCCAACATTTATTAATGGTATTATTTCTTCAACAAAATCATGTAAAAATTCATTACAATCTTTTGGTTTTGATTGTCCATGGAAAGCTCCAATAGCAAAAACTTGTTTACCTGGTATGTTAGAAAAATATCCTAAAATTGGCCAAATTTCACTTTGAGTACTACGGGATATAGGCAAACCATCTATCCCTACCATCAATTGTAGAGTATTTGGAATTTTATTTGATAATTGGCTGTCAATAAGTAAACGGACAATCTCAGATGTTAAGCTAAAATGAATATATTGGCCACCAGAAATATTTCTTGATACTGTAAGAGGAGGAGTTTTTAATAATGTCCGTGAGTCCACACACATATCTGGATGGCCATTTGATTTTAATATTTTTAACAATTCATTCAAAATTAAATGAGGTACACAATTTTTAAGTGCCCAACCAGCAATTAAATCTTGAAAAGTTACTTTTACATTTGATTCTATCATATCATACAGATCATCATCACTTGAGTTATTTTTCGAAAGAATTTCTTGTTCAGTGTTTTTTTCAATAATATTATCATTTTTGTAAACTACGGCAGGAATATTATTAAAACTTTTATTTTGTGTTTCAAATATTGATATAAAATTATTTAGTTGAGGATTATTATTATTATTAGATTTTTGTTTAGAAAAAGCTTCTTCTAATAAAGCACTTGCTTCAAGTTGAGCTTTTTTTTTTATTCTTAGCTTAGTACTTTTACTAGTACTTGAAGAAATTTTCTTTATACGTAACATTATGTCCTAAAAACAAAGACAATTGTTGTTACCATTTACAATTCATGTAGAAATGAATTATGCATTAGAAGTTACAAGAAATAATAACATTAAATCAAAAATGTTTATTACCTACCTATAATTTGTTAGATTTTATAATATTATTATTATATAATGACAATAAGATTATGGTAGGTACAAAAAAAACACAAGTTACATTAAATATGCAGTATATGATTTCAATATACAATATATTATTATATATTTAAAGAAACAAGATGATTACATCAAGTCTGTACTAAGTATTAATTTGGATTCCCTAGGTACATATTATAATATAGTACCTAATAACAAAAATGTGTAAATGATAGATGGTACAAAAACTCATCTAATGTATATAAATATATATTATTTCATTATTGTGAACAAAATTAAATTCTTATTTATTATTTATATATTAGTTTACTCAAATTAATAGTACCTACCTACAACAATCACTTTCAGCAATATTTTTACTAGAACTAGGTAGATGAAGTTACCAAAAAAAAAAAATAGTATCAACTAATAATAAAAATATATTACAATTACTTTGAGTTGTTAACTTATAATATCAGTAACACAGTAAATGAGTTTTAGATCAAATCCAAATTGGACTTTTTTATTTAAATAAAGTGGTACCTCTAGGGCTCTATTTAACAAAAAAAAAATTGTGAAATAAAAATGTTGTTAAAAAGAAATTATATTTTTTTCATTTATAAAACTTATTTGTAGGTAGTGTACTTATAAGCATATAAATATAATAATATATAATATAGTAAATAAATTTAAATTATATTATTAAGTTTATTAAAGAGCGAGGTACCTGCACTATATTTGAGCCCACAATAAGCCATAAGGTAGAAATTACCTACTATATATTTTTATTAAACATTTATTAATTGTTAAGTTTGTGGTATGAAACGTAGAAATAAAAAAAACTATTACTATAAGAAAATACTTAGGTACCTAATACACCGTGACATAGTGACCGTATAGACATACAAAAACCCAGTGACTAAAATATGATATCTAGTGTCTGGTTAGTAAAATGAATATTGAGTTTAATAATAATTAATTATACTACTACTAGCGACGGCTATAGTAGTGTTATAAAATAGCTACTCCTAATAACAATAAAACATGAATAATAATATAACTAGCTAATTATAATTATTATATAGTAACAACACAAAATATTATTTACTGTGTCTGTGTAGAATGTAGATATAATAATTAAAATTTAGTTTGATAAAAAACCATTAAAATATTTTTAAAAAATGTTAAGCTATAAAAGTATAAAATTATACACAATATTATAATAAGGCTTAATTTAAATTATACACTTTTAAATATCATACTACACACTTCAATTTTTGTACTACACAACGTGTGTCGTTTTACACATAATTTTAGGGACTGAAGTACAGCATATAGTATACAAATTTACCAAACAAAAATACAACTATAGTTATTAAGTATATAATAATATATTATATAACATATAGGAGTATATTATAATATAATAAACATATTTTATATATATTTATGTTTTGTATTAGAACTAAGAAAGTATAATTCATATAAGATGAGCTGCTAATACCAGAAAAAACAATTTTTATACACATATAATTCAACAATAATAATATATAATATATGGCATATTATAATATGTATATATAGTCGCGTATAATTTAGATTTTACATCTAGTTCTTATAACACACGTAATTATGACCATCAAGGTCGGGCTGTATCTAAAATATCTTAAAATTATAATCAGATAGGTATAATGTGTTTATAATATTATGTATACTGTATACACTATATAATATCTTTAGGGCTTAGCCACAGACTATATGAAAATATAGTCTGTGGCTTAGCTAAGCAAGTCCAACCGTGGTGATCATCATATAATATCTATATATTATAATATAAACATAAATCATAATACAGATTTAAGTACACATAATTATGTAGGTATAATACTCGAATAATACGTGTAATAAATAAGTAGGTATACGCGTATTAATTTAACTAGGTAGTGCAAATATATATTATGTAAAAAAAAATTCTTTGACCACATGGTTTATTCTTACCTTTCAAAATTGATGCTTCAAAGATGACAGTCGGCAACTCAAACTTGAAAGTGCAACCACATCAAGCACAACCACACTTGAACGATACAGATAAATTCTTTTATTTAAGTTTTAACAATTAAGTATTAACATACGTATATTATAATAAACCATAAAGTGAATATAAAAATCTGAAAATAATTCATAGATGGTCAACTGATTGTTATTTGTGATAGTAACACACACACACACACACACACGAGCGCGCGCGTGCTTAACGTCTAATATAGGAGTACGGGCCTGATCAGCTATCTTCATTGTTATTTTACTAAATTTAGAATTTCCCCATATGGATAAACAACAACAACAACAAAAATCGTGCCAATATCGTTCCAAAATAACATTTTTCCTTTAAAGGCCCTATAAATATCAAGATTAATATGTACGATCAAGGCACCATTGGACTGTCTAAAAACTATTGGAAATAGTAAAATAAAATGGTCCGAAATCGTGTTTATTGTGATTTAGCACTTTATAACCACTTATATACTTTTAAACTACATTAGCACTATAAGTAGGCATTTTGGTCCAGTGATGGCATAATTGTACAAAAATGTCACTAGAGGACAAATCTGGAACAAATGGAAAGTCCTGGAACTTAAACATACTGAACAATTGCTACCCGGGCAAGCTCTCATAAACAGTGGAAGCCGATACTTCAACTATAAGTCTACATTTAGTATTGTGTTGATGGCTGTCGTGGATGCCGATTATAATTTTTTATTTGCCGATGTTGGATGTCAAGGGAGAATTTCAGATGGTGGAGTTATTAAAAACACAGAATGTTATAAGTCTTTAGAAAATAAGACTTTAATGATACCCGAACAACATATTTGAAAAATGTGGAAAATAAACTGCCATATGTTTTTGTCGCTGACGAGGCATTTCAACTAAAAGATAATATTATGAAACCTTTCAGTGGTATTCAACAAAAAGGCTCAGTTCAGAGATCATTTAATTATCGGCTTTCGAGAGCCCGCCGAGTCGTGGAAAACGTTTTCGGAATTTTATCGGCAGTATTTAGGGTTTTACGAAAACCGATGTTGTTAGAACCTAATAACGCGAAGACAGTAGTTTTCGCATGTATTTATTTACATAATTTTTTAAGAAAAAAAGAAATTTCAAACAGTGGTTTTACATATGATGAGGAAAAAGATGGAAATATTAATGAAGGTACTTGGAGGCAAGATAATATTGATATGGGATCTTTTAATCCATTACCAAGAGTCGGACGAAAGCCCACAAGAACAGCTGAGGAGATAAGACTTGAATTCACCAAGTATTTTTTTCAGAACGTTTACCGTGGCAAGATAATTATGAGTAATTGTTTATTGAATAGTATTGTTTTATATTTTATCAAAATCATCAGGAATTTTACTTATTAGTACTACGAGTAAAGATTTTTTCGTTTAAACTTGTGTAACCTTTTATGTTAAATAATATTTGATTTATTTTATATTTTGAGTGATGGTTGTTTAAATATATTAAAAATTAAAATAAAAATTTGTAAGAAAATACTAATCACAAAATACTATATAGACATAGGTACACGATATACTGATATTCAGCCTGTGTCGATCCTTACTATTTGATTTAATATATTCATCGAATCTTTTGTTTGCCTAGGTTTATATTTCTCCTTCAAGAATTGCATTTCATTGAATGCAAACCATTTTGATTTATACAAATCATCTGTGCCAGCTCCTGAACGACGAGAAGAGTCTTGCCTTTGTCGTTCTCGACAATAAGACCCTTGAAGGCTTTCTATTTGTTTTTTAATATTGGTCACATCTGTGTTCAACTTAGTGGCGATTTCTTGCCAATCGTCGAATTTTATTTTATTATTTTTATAATTTTTATCCAGTGGATCCCAGAGACTTCTTTTTTCTCTATACAACTGTATGAGTTCCAAAGATTTGCAATCTGGCCACTCCATGTATGCAAAAACAACTAAGTACTTATAAATTATCAAAATAGTAAAATAATAATAGTTTACAATAGCACTTAAAAAACTTAATAAACACTTCACAATTGACGCAGTAATGCCGAAATGTGAACGCACGACAACATTTGATCGAACGGCGTCCCAACCAAAATCAAATTTCTTTTGATGTACCGCTACCAGAGCGAACAGGTCCGCACACGTACGAATGGTGTTCGTACGCAAACGGAACTTGTCTCGACCAACACATATGGTCGTCCGTTCGAACGTACGAAACCGTTCGTGCGGCCGTGCGTTTTGGTGGAGACGCACCTCAACACGCTTATCGTTATTTTTCCGTTTTTAACTTTATTATAAATATTCACGCAATATACATTTGGTAATAATTCTTGTTTATTAATTAATATATTTTTATTATTCATTGCCTTATCTGTTATATCGATTTGCACTACTGTTTCTGAACGTGGTTGCAATGTAAAACAAATATTATTATCGTTCTCTATTTTGCTTTCATTTATCGTAATTGTATTATTCGCAATATTTATTATTGCGTGGTTATCTATCAAAATCTTATTGCCAATTATTCCGTCGCCGGATATCGGAAAAATTTTAGTAACTACATAAAATTCTGTTCCAAATGCTATATTATCTATAATTAAATCTATTTCTGTCTTTCCTATTGTGGACACTATTTTTTCATTGATTCCCTTTAAATAAATTTTTCCTTTTTCATTAATTTCAGTATCTCCCTTTAAAGCGTTAATTTTATTATGTTCAGATCCGCGCCCGTGTCAACTAACAATTTAATTTGATCTTTATTAAAACTTGGCGATTTTAACGTAATATGATTATCTACTAATCGAGTTGTGATGTGGAAAATTCGTTTCGTGGGTCTTGTTCTATTTCTTGGACCAACCTCACGCCCACCTGAGGTTGTCCCCTGAAGTTTTTTGAATTATTTTTCTCATTTTTCTGTTTCGTAAAACAGTTCGCAATTTCATGTCCTATCTTATTACAAAAACTGCAATGTACATTTTGTGCCCTATCATTGCCTGTACACCGAAAAAAAAACCACTGGTAATTTTGATAAGCCACTTTTGTTAAATATTAACAACGGAGGCTTCGTTAGCACGAACATTATAATATTATAATGATAATATGTCATTTGTAAATAACAAATATTCTTATTGGTGTGATAATATCAATTATCAAAATAATTATATGGAAAAACGTATATTTTGAAATCGACAAATCTATTTTTATCCTTTAGTATTGTGAATTTTCTATAGTACTATTATCAATTTGATAATACATTATCACCATGACTATATTAAGCCAAATAACGCGATATACGTATTGTCGTATCCACAATATATTATACTCAAATCAGTCTTATTATTCACTCTTGCACTCTTGCCTGGTTACGTCGCTTAATATATTATATCGTTATACTGACCGACGGAGACGCGCATGGTTGAAAAAAAGTTGACAACTGAAGTACTAAGGTAAGTGCTTGTACTAAGGTAAGTTATAACTAGTTATATATACCGAATTACACAACATGATGATTTGTTATATTTGTAAAGTATCTGTTGGTGATTTAAAAGCTTTAGTGACACATTATAAAATTATTCACTTATTAAAGCCAAATAGTACCTTCACCTGCTGTGAGAGTTCATGTTCTCAATCGTTTAACTGCTTGTCTGCCTTTAAAAAGCATGTAACAAAAAAACATGTGTCTACAACAACTAATCTATCACCAAATGTACAACTTAATTTTCCTAATGCAGTCATCACTAACAACGATGTCTATGACGATTTTGTAGTTGATAATCAACATGAAAAAAACTGTACAAATAATAATTCTAATGCTCCATTTAATTTTGATGAGATGATTAATCTTGTTTATGAATCTTCTGTGAAATTTATTTTGAGTCTTTATAATAACAATAATTTTAATAATGTTGATGTAGTTAATATTCAATCAGGGATCAAACAATGTATTTTGAAGCCAATGGCTTCTATTTTAAAAAAAGTTGTCGAAAAAGATATCAAAGAACCATTACTTCTTTCAACTTTTCATAAAATTGAGATTTTAATATTAAATCCTTTTCAATATTGTGGTACAGAACACCATTTAATTAATTGGTTGAAAAAGAATAATTTGATATCTAAGATTAAACAATTTAATATAAATAATGAAATTGCTCCTGTTGATCACAGCGGTAATTTAATGTATGATGAAAAAATAACTAAAGGGACTTTATTGCCATTACAATTTCAGTTTAAACAATTTTTTGAATATAATAATAACTATGAAATTTTTTACAATCAACTGATAGACTATACAAATAAGTTTGGTTCCATTTCAAATTTTGTACAAGGGAAACTATGGAAGGAAAAAGTATCAAGGTATGAAGGAAAAATAGTACTCCCTTATTTCTTATATGTTGATGACTTTGAAATTAACAATCCTTTGGGATCACACGCTACATTTCAATCAATAGCTGCTTTTTATTACAGCTTCCCTTTAGCCCAAAACAATTCAAAACTTTCCAATATATTTTTAGCAGCATTAATTAAATCAACTGATATCAAAAATTTTGGAAACGATGCTAGCTTAAAAATATTAATTAATGAATTAAATTTATTGGAAAAAGAGGGATTAATGATTTCAACTTCAAAAGGAGATTTTCATGTTTACTTTTTACTTGGCTTAGTCTTAGGAGATAATTTGGGACTTAATAGTATACTAGAATTTAGTAAGTCTTTTTCTTCAAACTATTATTGTCGGTTTTGCAAATCTCACAAGCATATATGCCAAGAACTTAATGAAGAGAATGTATCTTACTTAAGAAATATTGAAAACTACTCAGAAGATGTTGAAAATTTGGTATTTAGTGAAACAGGTGTTTATAAGGAATCCATTATGAATACAATTTACAGTTTTCATGTTACTAAAAACTATTGTATAGACATTATGCATGACTTATTTGAGGGTGTTTGTCGATATGATATGTGCCATATCATCAAATATTTTATCAATACTATTCAAGTATTTTCTTTAGAAACTCTAAACAGTCGTAAAAGAAATTTCAATTATGGACCAATTGAAATTGGAAATATTTCTCCTGATATAACTGATTTGCATCTTAATAAATTTCATTTAAAAATGTCAGCAAGAGAAATGATGACATTTGTCCATTTCTTTTCACTTATGGTAGGTGATTTAGTTCCAGAAGGCGATGAAGTGTGGAATTTTTTTTTAACACTTCTCAAAATGATTGATATTCTTTTATCATATACATTCACTGAAAGTACAATAATACATCTCAAACAGTTGATTATTCAACATAATTCAATGTACATTAGACTTTTTAATGATACACTGAAACCCAAGCATCATTTTTTGATTCACTATCCTACTATAATAGAATATTCAGGCCCACCTAGACATTACTGGTGTTTTAGGTTTGAGGGAAAGCATAAAGAAATTAAAATGTATGCTCGCTCCACATCTTCAAGGAAAAATATCACACTTACATTAGCTAAAAAATTTCAATTTAAGTTTGCTCACTACCTTCTACGCTCAGAAACAACGTTGACAATAGTAAATTCAAATCATAATATTTGTAGTTTATATTCAGAATCTTTGTTTAGTATACTTACTCTTTCAACAGCAGATTATAAATGTTATTCTCAAATAGAATACAAAGGAACTTTGTATAAAAGAGGTTACTACTTAACAAAGTTTGTTGAAGAATTATGTTTATTTGAAATTTTAGAGTTAATAGTTTTAAGTAATGTTATTGATAAAGTCTTCATAGTAACCAAACAAGTAAAAATAACAGGTTATCATTTGCACCTTGAAGCTTATGAAGTAGATAGCAGCCTATATGTAATTAAGGAATGTGTTATATTTGAAATAGATGACTTTAGTGGACCACCTATAAATATTTCTCAAATTTCATCTGGAAAATTAATGATTCGATTAAAAGAATATTTTTCATAACCTTTTTTTTATTTATTGTATATAATTTATATATATTTTGAGCTGTATATAACAAATTTCATTATTTAAATTAATATTATTATTTTAGTGCTGTACTTGCTTTTTTTTATTTATTGTTTATAATTTATATATATTTTGAGCTGTATACAACTAATTACATTATTAAAACTAATATTATTAATAACAATATATAATTAATATATATTATATATATTTTATTATTAGGTAGGTACTATTATTATTATATTTATATTTATTAATATTAATAATTATCATTTTAGTGCTGAATTTGATTTTGGTAACATGGAAAATAATCACACTAAACAATTAACAATGCTTGAAAATGTGATTGGTGAAGATAATAATGCCAACTTAAGTGAAAATATCGTTATAGAAAATAATAATGATAATTCAGATGATTTTATGAATATTGCAAGTTTTTTAGTATTCAATTCAAATGGGTTGCATGTTTATATTATACTAATATTAATATTGTACTATTATTTCTCACTGTTTACAGGATTTAAATAACTGTTCAATGTCAATATCAGGTTTAGAAGGGTATGAATATCCAATAGATCAAATACAGCCATTATTTGATTTGTTGAAAAAATGGGATTTGGAGTGTCTATCTAAAACCTTAATTGGTAAGTTAACTTTTTTTTTATTTATACCATAACATTGGTCTTTTGTTTGTATTAACAATAATATTTTTCAATAAATAGATGAAATGGTTGACATGAAAATATTAGCAATTATGAAACGGGACCTTGCTATTAAAATGTTAAAAACATATCCAACTGGTATCAAATTTCTTTTTACTCACCACCTTGAAAATTGGCAGAAGTCTCTTGATCAGCAAGATGTTCTTTGTTTTTCACAAACAACTAATCATAATGAAACAACAACTAATATATCAACTTTAAAGCCCCATCAACCATTAAAATTATCTTCTACATCTGTAACTTTTAATTTGGGAGAA